TACTGGGTTTCCAGCCTTCCTTACAAACATCCTCCTCATTAGCCCCCACAATCCCATGAGCCAGTTCCTTGAAATGAATTTCCCTTTCTTTTTCTCCCTCTTTCTTCCTTTTAGCCACAACATGCATGTACATGTGCCTCCAGCACATAAACGCTATTATCTATTTTTCTGGAGAATCCTAGTGTGTGTGTGTGCAATACACACTCACATATGTGTGCACACTTGTGAAGGCCAAAGGTCAGTGTCTTCCTCAGTCACTATTCAGTTCATTTTTTGAGACAAGGTCTCTTACTGAACCTGCAGCTGACCAGTTCAACTAGACTGGCTGGCCAGCAAGTGTCTGGGACCCTCCCGTAATGCCCTCCTGGCACCGAGGTGACCGGTGTACTCCACCATGCTTGCTTTTCCATGGTTGCCGGGGATTGAACTCAGGTCCTCGTGCTTTCGCAGCAAGCACTTCACCAACCGAGACATCTCTGAAGTCCCCCCAACACTAAAAACCCCGAGTCTGCCTCCAGCCCCTCTCCTGCCCTTCACTGCACATACATGGTCTGCCAAGAAGGAAAAGCACTGGAATTATCCTTTTGGTCCTGGTAGTCATTGCTACCACTGAGTCTAATTCTGCCCATCGACTTGTGAGGCCCTACACTAGATCCTGCACACCCACCCAACCACCATGCAGAAGGCCGAGAGCTGAGAGGAAACAAGCAAAGAGCCTGACGACCTGGGACTGCCACTGAGACATCCCTGACTTGACGCCTTGGAAATACTTTCAGAGCACCCAAAGTTGGAATCTGAGTTCGTGACGTTAAGTCTACAAAGGAAGACTGAGGAGTAAGTGAAGCGCTGTACCCAGAGTCCTACAGGAGAAAGGCTCTTCACACAAGCTACTTACTTCTACAGTGTTTCCCATCCTCAGCCAGCCTGAATCCTTCCAGACACTTGCAGATGTATGATTCACCACTGTTTACACAGAGGTGCTCGCAGCCATGGTCTATAGCCTGGCAGACATCTTTCCCTGAGGAGAATACAGTGATTAAAACAACTGCATCAATGTAAAGTCTACTTGGACTTCCCCCTGGAAGATCCATCCATCTTGGCCTCTGGACTCAAGTGCCACTTGAGTAGGAAGGAAAAACTGGGGGTAAAGTTTGGTGGCTCTAGGTTGGGCCGAATCTTCAAACTTGCTCAGTGTCATTGCCATCACCGCTCACCAGCATGACCTCAGTGTCAGGATCAGTTCTGCCTCGGCTGTCTGCAGACATGGCCTCTGGTTTCAAGTGTAGGATTACATAGGAGAAAGCTTCAGTTTAGATCAGCAGCACTGGGATCTAAATTTGCCTTTGTCCCTGGCATAATCTATAAGTTAGGAAAATCACATAACCTCTTGGAATCTTGGCGTTCCTGTCTGGAAATAAGAGTAATGATTGCAGGTACTCATCTTTTCTTCACAGCTTTTTGGGAAGAGCTTTGAGAAGTCTGAGAAAAAGAAGACTGACAGAGATGAGAACCATTTGCCCAGATTTGCACACTCTGCTTTGATTGTTATTGTTATTATTGGGGTATTGTAGACTGAACCCAGAGCCTTGTGTGTGCCTGGCAGATGCTCAACCATGAAGCTACATCCCCAGTCCATTTATTTATTTTAATTTTTATTTATGTGTCTGTGTATGGGTATGTGCACCTGAGTACAGTTTCCTGCAGAGGCCAGGAGAGGGGTAAGATTCCCTGGAGCTGGAGTTAGAGAAGCCTGTAAGCCACTTGATATGGGTGCTAGGAACTGAATTCATGTCCTCTGGAAGGGCAGCAAGTGTTCTTAATCACTAAGCCATCTCTTTAGCCCTCCATTTTTACTTTATTTTATTTTATTTTTTTTGTTTTGAGACAGTGTTTCACTAAATTTAGTGAGACCAGTATGGCCTACAGCCCAGGAAGTCTGTGAATTTTCCATGCTCCTGTCTCAGCCTTCTAAGTCGCCAAGATTATAGGGGTATATCACCAGGCTCATTGTCGTGTGTTGTTATTGAGAGAGGGTCTCACTCTGTAGGGCTGGCCTCGAACTTGCTATGTAGACCAGACTGGGCTTGAGTCCACAGAGATCAACTACCTCTCTCTGCCTTCTGAGTAATGGGAATCAAAGCATATAACCCACACCTGGCTTGACGGGTTATTATTTACTAAAACATATCATTATATATAATTACTTAGTTTTCACACAGCACCCCCTTTTCTGTCCCAGGATCCCATCCAGACACATGGCATTTGATTGTGTGATGTTGAGAGTAATTGTCTCACACCGAAGTTGGCATGGTGGGTCTCAGGCATGGCCATATGAACTAGCACTAGCAAACTTACTTCTGCAGGTCTTCCCATCGTCACGGAGGATGTATCCCTCAAAACACTGACACACGAATGAGTCTTCACTGCTTACACATGAATGTTCACAACCATGGTCCCCCAAAGCACAAGAGTCCAGTTCTGGTTAGAATTACAGAAATAGAAGAAAATTACTCATAGATTAGTGACCTAGTCATTCATAAAAGACATTGCAGACATCTTAAGTTAAAACAGTGTCTTTTCCCACACAGTTCATTTCAGGATAGAAAGTATCTATGAGCAAAAATTCTTAATATATACAAAGCACATACATAAAGCAAAATATCCAGTTCCATAGGAAAAAGGGAACAGTTTTCAAAAGGAAATGTAAATGTCTATGACTATGAGAGAATAAGTCTAATACCAACTTTCCTGTGGATCTACATATGTATGCAGAACACTTAGCTGATTCATTCATTTATTCAAAGTCAGCAAAGCTCTTGGTTGTTGTTTTGAGACAGGATATCCCCCTGTAACCCAGGCTGGGCTTGAACTCAAACTCATGATCTTTTGCTTTAGCCTCCTGAGTGCTAAGGTAAACTTGAACACACCTAGATAGTCAACAAATTTGTTGTGAGTTCTTACTGTGGGCCAGGCATTGTTCTAGCCACTAAGGACAGAACAACCAGTAAAAAAATGGTTTTGCTTCCATGGGACTTTGCATTTGGCGATGGGTGTCAGGAGTATATGAGGGTCTGGAAGACAAACAATAGACAAGCATGTCTTCTTAGTGGGGAAGAAAGTGCCTTGGAGAAATAGAAGACAAGAGGGACAGAGAGTGGCTGCTGGGTTGGGGCTTGGCATCTTAGCCCTGAAGATGGAGAGGAGATGAGTGCCGGTGTCTAGGCAAGAAGGAGCATCTGCACACTGCAGTTGCAAGAGCATGTTCACCATGTTGCAGAGAAGGCACAGAGCCCAGCATGGTAGGACTAGGCAGGACATGTCTGAGGGAGAAGAGCAGTCACAGGATGTTTTGAGCAGTAGAATCCCTCAGTCTGGGCTGCGTTTTGAAAGCATAGAATGGTGTGGGTAGAGAAGGAATACAGGGGATGGATACAGCCTACTGCCATGATCCCGCTGGCCCAGAACACTGGTGATGACGTGGTTGAACTGGCTATGATTGGGACTGACGTTAGATCACAGATCTTCTAGCTACCCTTCTCTGCCTTCCAGAAACGCCACCCCTCCCTGAAGCCTGTCTCCCTGGTAGTTCTCTCCTGCCCTCTTAGAGCTGTGAGCAAGCCCAGCCACCCTGATTCCCAGACCACAGACAACCCTTGAACTGTAGCTGGTTTTGTCAGTGCCAGGCCCAGCTAGATCACATGGTACAGAGGCGGGCCACCTCCCCTGAAAACCTCTAAGAACCAGAATGCCCTTTGTTCTTTAGAATGGAGGGCTCTCTCCCAGCAGCTTCTCTACCCTGGTGTGGCTGTCTGCTAATGCTCTCCCATGTCCTGGCCTGATCCTAGCATGCTTGTGGCCATGAGGATCTCTCCTAATAAAGCTCATCTAAAGGGTAATTTTGTGTCAACTCCTGTTCTTTCCAACAGTGAAGTGAAGGGTCCACCTTTATATGGCTAGGACAGAAGAGTCAAGGATGACTCGGAGGTCACTGGACTGAACTACTGAAGGACACCATTACTGTTTATAGGGCTGGGTGGCTTCTGGGGACTAGAAGGTTTGTGCACTTGTGAAAACCAGGCTGACGGTTCAAAGCTTGAAACAGGACCAGGGGCAGTGACATTTTACAACAACCATACAGTTAACTGAAAGCTAACCCAGCCCTTCAGAAAATGAACAGGATTTCAACAAAGGGCATGCACCGAAGTGGTTAAAGGCACATGGTGATTACACTCAGGAAGAACCATCTACTCTTCTTTTGTTAAGCATTATTGCAGCATTTCTCTGAGAAGGGGAGCCCTCAGAACTACCCTGCAAGCTAGTTAAAGGAGCCAGTGTTACTCTCATTTACCAGCAGGAGAAACTAACATTGAGGAAGACTAATTACAGCTAGCCAAGACCACTTGCTAATAAGTGGAAGAACCAGATGAAAGATGTTAATTTTTGGTAATGAAGCCCGTGACTTTTCCCAATTGCACACAACATTCCCATCTGCTAAGCTTTCAGACTCGAGGGGAAATTTGCATTTCTTTGGGCAAGAACACTGCCAGAAGCTTTGAACAATGGGAAAATGATGTTAGCTGGAATTTTAATTGTAAAGGAGACTCTAAGCAGAATTGGGTACTCCGCTTTGCTCTGAGTGTGACTTATTTCTCTGGGCACATTCTGGACTCATTATTAATGCAGAACATTTCCCTGTGGCTGGAGTAGTTCCTCACATAGTTAAAAGTACCACTGAGTGATACATAGCACCAACAGCTGGCTGGCACAGAGGGCAACATTTCCATTCCTTCCATGAATTTATAAGAATACTCCATTTTCCAAGGTTATAAAATAGCAAAAGCTCGGCCGGGCGGTGGTGGCGCACGCCTTTAATCCCAGCACTCGGGAGGCAGAGGCAGGTGGATCTCTGTGAGTTCGAGGCCAGCCTGGTCTACCAAGTGAGTTCCAGGAAAGGCGCAAAGCTACACAGAGAAACCCTGTCTCGAAAAACCAAAAAAAAAAAAAAAAAAATAGCAAAAGCTCTCTCAGGCCAGTCTTGCCAAGCCCTGATCCAGAGCAAACCCTCTAAGCACACTCTTCTGTCTGGGACTCCCCATCCAGCCCTGATCCACTAGCTACAGCTCAAGCTGTCCTCTTGAAGATTCCAGGGGCTTCCTCAATAGAGATACAGCTGCCCAAGCCTGCACCTGTCAGGTGGCACTTCTCTTTATCAGAGGGCAGCCATGGAAAAGCCCATGCCCACAGGGTCATGTCCTCATCCTTGGCTATATGCCGTGCCAGCAGCACCCAGCCCAGCTTCTCAGTTCTCCTGGAACTGTTAATGTGTGCATGCTGTAAAGTAAGTGAAGAGTTTTCAAGCTTATCTTTTCCTCTGCTCATCCCCTCAGGGCATCTGATCCAGAGCAGAGCAGGTGACTTCTCAGTCACTGCTTCCAAAGTCAACTGTACTAAAGGGCACACTTGCTTATGGAGGAGTGCCTGGCAGTGTCCACAGGGCTGCAGAACGCACCTTTCACCCAGCAGCTTCTCTTAGGGACTCCCTTCTGCAGGTGTCCTTGTACCATGTGAAGGGATGTACTTCCAAGTTAACAACGGCATCACTGTTTGTAAGGGTGAAAGCAGGAGTCAACCCAAGTATTTAGAAAAGGGGACAGGCCAAATGAAATGGAACACTACACAGCTATAAGAAGAATGAGGAGCTTCCCTGTGTAAAAGTGGTGGTTTGAATAAGGATGGCCCTCATGGGCTCATACATTTGAATGCTTGAGGAGCAGCACTATTTGAAATGATTAGGAGGTGTGGCCTTGTTGGAGGAAGTGTGTCACTGGGGGTGGGCTCTGAGGTTTCAAAAGCCCATGGTAGGCCCAGAGTCAGTATGTAGCTCTCAGCTACTGCTCCAGTGCCTGCCTGTGTGCTGCCCAGCTCTCTGCTATAATGATAACAATGGACTAAATCTTTGAAACTGTAAGCCAGCCCCCAATTAGATGCCCTCTTTTATAGGAGCTGCCTTAGTCATGGTGTCTCTTCATAGCAACAGATCAGTGACTAAGACAGAAGTTGGTACCAGGAGTGGGGTACTGCTGTGACAGGCCTGACCATGCTGCTTGTTGGCTGAATGTGGACTTTGGGACTCTGGATTAGGAAAACAGTTGAATGCTGTAAGTAGGGCCTAATGGGACATATTAGTAGGAGCATAGAAGACAGTGGTGCTGAGAGCAATGTAGATTGTGATGGCCTGGTTCGTGAGGATTCATAAGGAAGAATATTAGTAAGTGGCCTAGAGACTATTCTTGTGATATTGTGGCTGCTTTTTGTGCACATCCTAAAAATCTGCCTGAAGCTAAATTAAGAGTTTTGTTAATGGTATTGGCAGAGGAGATTTCAAGAGAGCTTAATATTAACTGTGCCATGTGGTTATTAATAATCACTCTTATGCAGATCTATGATGAAAAGGAGTAAGCTAGACAAAGAGAAATATAAAATGTACAGTTTGAGTATAAGAGGAGCACAGGAAGTATAATGGAGCTAAGTCCTGTGCTCAAGGAGATAAAAAGTTTAAAGAATAAAGGGAGTGGTGACCTCAGGGCAAGACCCCACCCAGCTAAGCTTCCAACTTGTAAAGAGGAATTAAAGGAAAGCTTCAGCAGTGATGGAAGCCACCAACTACAGAAAGCCATTGCAGATGTAACTGAAGGAGGGGGTCAAGTTCCAGCCCCAACAAGCAAGCAGAGCTTGGCAGCTCTGGCCATCTGTTCTGGCTTTAGAGTCAAGGATACAAGAAAGGGGCTGTGGAATCTCCTTCCACAGCTAAGAAAAGTCACTGAGGCCAGGCATGTGTCAAGGGTGTCCCTGCATAGGGACCCAGAGAGGCCATTGCATAAAGCTGTGAAGGTGAAGTCTAGATTGTGTTGGAGACCCCAAGATGTTGGAGATGCCAGGGATACCTGCTGAGGAGAGCTGCTAACAGGGAGTGGACCCAGTCCACGAAAGAAAAGTATGTTACAGTCAACAAAGCTGAATGGAGTTAGAGATCTGAAGAGCGCTTTGACATCAGACATGAGATGCAGAATTTGGAGTTTGCCCAGCTGGTTTAGCAAGCTAAACCATGTACAGAACTCACTTCCTGCCCACAGGCTCTAGTGCTTCCTCCGTACCACACTGGAAACCAGCTTATCCTCAGCTTCTCCCAGAGCCGATGATACTCCACTGTGGGAACACACTTCAGTGCCTCCTCAAGAAAGAAAAACAGCTACCATCTCTGACTCCCCACTAGAGCGGCCACCAGCCTGGGGAAATAGTGTGCACACCAACTGTACTTGTTTAGCAAACATTTGTGAACCGGTGACCTGTGCCCACTACTATCTATATTTGGAGGCTAGAAAGGACCTTGGAAAGATGCTGGTTCAACTCCATTCTAGAGATGAGGAAATAGCTGGCCAGCAAGCAGAAGTGACTTTCTGAAAGCTTCTAATCTGAAGATGTGACTTGGCTTTGCTGACGCAGGTAGGTCACAGATCTGTCCCCCGGTGTTTCCTGGTCATCCCAGCTCCATGGGGTTAGTCGGTCTGGTTAGGGACTAATAGTTTGATCAAGATAGGCTCTAGAAAGTTTCCTGTCACTCTCCATGCTGCAGGTGACAGTTCCCACCTGCTCCTGTGGCTTCCTCTGGCACTCAGTATACTGACCTCCCTGTCCAGATCATGGACCTGCACGTGCTGCTGCCAAGGTCTGGGAATCTCTTACGTGGCACTTATGGCTGTCTCTCCTGATTGAGTCTCTAGGGTCAGATTAAACATCTCTCCCTGGACTTGGGAGAGTCCCCTACTCCACGTTCTTGTGGCAGTTCTGCCTGAATCCCAGTGGTCACCAACCAGATTGGGTGATACATCTTACATATCTCTTCCAGAGAAACTTTAACCAGTGCTGGGGCAGAAATTGAATTAGTTCAATCCCAGGAGTCACCAGCACTTGAGAAACCACAGGCAAAGACTTGAGAGAATAAGGACAAAGAACTAGCTTAAGCAAGTGTTGAGACTCCAGCCAGGGAAGGGATGAGTCAGACTCAATCACTAGTCAGTGCTGAAGTAGAATGGGGTAGGAGGCTTAGAATTCTCAGGAAGCAGGAAAAAAGAAAACATCTTCTGCTCAAAGAGATGCCTTTTGGGGCTGGAGAGATGGCTCAGTGGTTAAGAGCACTGGCTGCTCTTCCAGAGGTCCTGAGTTCAATTCCCAGCAATCACATGGTGGCTCACAACCATCTACAATGAGATCTCGTGACCTCTTCTGGCATAAAGTCATACATGCAGATAGAGCATCATATACATAAAATAAGTAAATAAATCTAAAAAAAAAGAAGAAGAAGTTTAGAAAAACAAGAAAAGAAATCCTTCCCCTTTTTGTTCTCATGGGAGGAGGCAGGTCACACATTTAATTAAAGCCTCATTGTGAATAGGGTCTGTCATCTGTGACCAGGATGGCTAGAGGTTTCATAGCATAGCTCAGATTTTTGGGGTCCTGATACACTGAACAAACTGTGTTTCCCACATCTAAGTTATATACCAGGTGAGTTGTATATGTGATGTGGGGGCTGCAGGAATTGTGGGGTAATGTGTCCAGTGTACTCAGACTTCAGCAGCAAAGACAGATAGCAGCCCTGGTTCTTGTTCTGAATTCCACATATGATGTAATTAAAACTCACCTGACCCCAGAGGGATGTGGCCATAGAGACGGTCTGCCGAGAAGGTGACCCAAGGCCAACTGCTAACATGATAGTTTCAACGGGGGCAGCTGACCCTTTGGTGCCTCTGTAGAAGCCTTTTTCTCAAACCGAGAAGCAGCCACACTGAGATATCCTCCAGACCATCGCATTCTGCTCATGTGTTCTAAAGTTGAGGACCCCCGGGCATCTTGAAGTGAAGGTAGTCCCTTCCCCCTCATTCATGCTACTCACTGGACTGTGTCCTCAATCCCTAATTCATAAATTGGCCCCCTAGTCCCTACCATGACAGTATTTGGAGTAGGGCTTTGGGAAGTAATTAGGTTTGGTTTACGAGGATGGGGCCCAGATAACGTTCTTATTATCATTATATTATTATTATTATTATTATTGCCGTCGTCATCACCACCATCACCATCGGAAAGTGTAGGAGGAGCTCATATGCCATAGTGCAAACTGGAGATCAGAGAGCAGCTGGAGTCAGCCCTCTCCCTCTCCCGGTATACAGATGTGCATTCTAGGGATCGAACAGCTCGGCAGGCCTGCACGGCAGGCACTTTACTGAGTTATCTTGCCAGCCCAGGACTAGTGTTTTTATTAAAAAAGATACCAGAGAGCTCATTCACTCACTCCCTGTCTCCATCTCCTTTCCTCCATGGGAGGACACAGACATTGGTGGAGAAAGCCCTCCCCAGAGCATTACCATGCTGGCATCCTGCATTCAGACTTTTAGCCTCCAGTACTATGAGAAAGATGTTTCTGTGGTTAGGAGACAACACACAGTCTGGTATTTTGCCATTGCTGCCTGAGCAGACTTGGACACTAGGGGTGGGGTTAGGACTTCAGGGCTGGGGGCCTTTTGGTAGCTGGGCTGGAAGTGTGGCCAGTTGGATCCCTGAGGTTTAAGGCTGTGGCTCCTACCCAGTGTTCTCCATGGCTAGAAACAAGGGCCTCTCCTAGGGCAGTGTGTGGACTACTGAGCTTGCCAACTTCTAGAGTACGGTATCCCTGAGCCCTGCACGGAGAGTGTGCCCGACCCTGTCCCTGGGAGACTGGTCTCCAGACACCAATACAGGGGTCTTCCTGTGGGCCTCTCAGTGAAGAACAGTCGTAAGCTGAGGAGTGAGACCTGACGGGTGTGATAGAGTTGACGGCCCACTCCACATTCTCAAAGCGTGTCTATGAGAATGTTCCTGTGTCACACAGGGACCCTGGAAGACAGAAATTGTCATTCCCAGTTTGAAGGTGGGCAACCAGACACACAGGGAGGGCCAGCTTCCTTGCCCAGGTCAGAAGCGACAATATGTGAATCTGGGCTTTGGATCCTAGATCTGTGCTCCTGCTCACACCTGTGCACAGGTGTTCAGGGCTGGAAGGAGGAGTCTTCCCTGGCCCAGTGCTTAGGGAGGAGGAAGTTTCCATGACTCTGTGATAGACTGGGTTTCTCTATGCAGGGCGGAGGGCTGGGGAACAGAGGCTGTCCTCAACAGAGAGAGAACAGTGTTTGTTCTCACTGTTTTAGGACTGCTTTAGCGGAAACACAGGAGGCTATGAGGAAGACCCAGGAAAGAGGGGGGCCTCTCCTACACTGCCAAATCAAGGATTGTCACTGGAATTTTTTTCTGGGAGGTAGTTCGAAGCCATTAAAGGGACTGAGCTTGGAGCGGAGCCTGCACTAGGGTCACAGAGCCAAAGGATATCGAGCTGGCCTCTGTTCATTCACTACCCCATTCATTTACTTTGCTAGGCTGGGCCCTGGGAATTCTGACTCCAGATAAGACCTGGCCTCTGACCTCTGACTCCCAAGGACTTACAGGCAGTGCACTCCATGCATAGTGGGCCTATGGAGTCTTTAAGGGAAACCTAGTGAGGAAAAGAGAACCCTAAGCTGCAGCTGGAAGAGGAGGACCCCCCCCACTCCCAATCTATGCTAGAATCAGCATCAGAGGACTGAGAGGGGAGGAGGGTGGGCCTCACCCCAGTACCTACTTCGTTGTCCCAGGAGCCTGGGAACTGGAACTTAGGCTCTCTACACTTCAGGCAACTTGGAGAACGAGTGAGGGGCTCTTCAGATCACCTGCTGTCAAGGCTCCAAATAAAGGCCAAGGAAACGCTCATCTTTTGAGCAAGGCCTGGCAGACCCCAGCTCACTCCCAGCCCCTGTGCACCAGGCTTCATTAAAAAGGTACAGACAGTCATGTTATCTGGCTGTGTGTCATCTGGCCTGGGGCAGGGGAACATTCATCCCAACTGCCATTAGCTGTGACCACAGTGAAAACCTAGGCCACGATTACAGGATGGAACAGCTGGACTGAATCATTTGAGAGCAGACAGGGAGTCTTCAATTAGGGGGACAGCTCTGGCGGGTAATATGTGTCTGTTCTGTATTGTTCCGAGTTAAGTTCTAACCCATCTGATTATCTCACGCGTTCTCATAACCACCCAACCAGGCATAAAGTTCACTTGCAGTTGCTGGACTTGCACTCATATAGATGACGCAGACTATGCATTTAAATGAGAAAACAGGCAATGTTTAAAGGCGGCAAAGGCAAAGCTCTGATTGGGAGAGAGGCAGGAGAATGAAAGAAGGGTCTGCAAGTGTTTCAGATTCTGAGAGAAGATTTTAGAGGTCCTGCAATTATCTCACACTCAGCCCTTGATTATCAGAGAGAAGAGAACAAAGAAGGGGTGTGAGTGATCTGAGACGATGGAGAATTACACCCACCATCCCCTCGCATCTGGTTTGGCAGGCAGGCGAGTGTAGCTGGTGTTTAACTTACCCGCCCTTTTCCACACCCCCAGCGCCCAGGCCCTGCTAGAGTTGGCCACAGCTGCGAGCAGCTGGGCAGGGATCCCCGAGCAAGCGGCCCCATGGACAGCCTACTTGCCAAGATCCAAGAATCCATCTCAAACTGGGACGACATTTTCTCACACGGAGCACAGTTACTGTTGCACAGCTTTAATTTCTAACATGTGCTCGTGTGAACTGACGGCAGAGAAAAGGCGGCAGTGTCAGTACTGTGCCCACGGCTGTGCCAGTGGCCAAGGAACTCGGGCCTACAGCCAGAAAGACGGTGGCCAGGGAGAGCAAAGGATGGTCTCTGCTTCCATCTTGATGCTTTCTCTCAAACTGCTGTTAGTCCTTGATCCTGGTCCACTTGGAAATGGGAACGCAGGGCAGAAAGCACATGGCTTTCTTGAGTTGGAGAGACAAGGGAGCCTGGAGTCTTGTCTTTTAGCTGTTGTTTGTGTAAATGGAGATGGGAATTAGGGTCAGCTGCAAGGAAACATGTTCCTAGACAATATCCCTGCTGGCCTGGCCTTGTGCTGAAAGGATTTCTCAGACATCTCCCTTTCAGAACTAACTGGAGTCTCACAGAGAGTGAGTCTCAGACGCTTCGCTGAGTCTGAGCTGAGGTTATCCCATCTGTTCCTGGAGGGTGATAGAATGTGCTTAGCACAGTGCTCAGCCTGGCCTGGCCTGCAGCCAGCTGGCAGGCAGCAAGTTTCTGTATTGTTGGTCATAGGCGTGACTGGTGGGGGGTAGAGCTGAGAGTGTGTCTGTACTCTGCTGTCATGTCACAGTACATGGACAGAATGGTTAAGAAGTTAGGGCTTCATTTTGCTTCATCTTATGGTGGGAATTATGTACAGAAGAGGTAGGGACAGAGGCACTGAATGCACTTTACAAGAATCCATCTCTCTAATCAGTCCACTCCCCCAGGAAAGGCATGAATCCTTCCCACCAGCATAATTGCCTTGGAAAAGTTTCATGTCTCAAACATGTCACAGTAGCAACCAAATTTGAACATAAATTTAAGTATAGACAAACCACAGCAGCATGCCAAGAATGAGGACCTGTTTCATCATGGTGGTGAGGCAGAGTGTGTGGAGACCGCAAAGCCATTTCCAGGAGCATGAGGAGGAAGTTTGGGGCCGAGGCTCCAGGGGCTTTGAGATGCAGGCACACATATATCCAGGGGCCCAGTCAGACCCAGAGGACACTCAGACATGCACATGTCAGCAGCCCACTGGCACCTACAGGGGCCTGTGCTGAGTCCTGTCTGTCCCAGGATCTCAATGTGATGAAACTCACTTGCACAGGTTTTCCCGTCGCTGCGGAGCACGTGACCCTCAGGACATTGACAGGCAAAGGATCTGTCTGTGTTGACACAGGAGTATTCACAACCATGGTCACTCAGCAAGCAGTAATCCACCCCTGTAAAATCAAAGCCAAGTGAGATCCCTGGGGCCTCTGTCAGCAAGGCTTCTGGACTGCGATGGGAATTAAGTAACGGTTCACATTTGCTGCCATTGAAAGCACTGGTCCCCAGCAGACTTCCCCGCAGTGTCCCCGGAGGCCAGAGGAGGACGTGCCGATCTCTGCATTGTCTGCACACTTCACACCGGTTGCAAACCCCTCCCTAGTAGAGAAGTGGAAGGGGACTCACTGGAGCAGGTCTTGAGGTCATCGTTGATGAGGAAGCCTTCCGAGCACTGGCAGACAAAGGATTCCTCCGTGTTCAGGCACAGCTGCTCACAGCCATGGTCCTGCTGTGCACAGTGGTCCACCCCTGCATTGGTCACAAACACAGGAAAACATGAAGGGACTGAGGTGCCAATGCTCCACTCACAAAAGGGACTGCTACCCAGAGCCTTCCTGGGGGCAACGTCAGCCACAGGGAAGGTTCCACTCTACCTCATGATACCCGGCTTGCTGGGAAATCAGCCTTGCTCCTTGTCATAGCTAGCTTCAGTGGCCTTGACATAAACCTAGAGTCACTTGGGAAGAGGAAACCTCAGATAAGGAATTGCTTCATCAAACTGGCCTGTGGGCATGTGTGGCATGTTCCTGATTGCTGATTGATCACAGCCCACTGTGAATAGTGTTCACCCGGGGAAGGTGGTCCTGAGTAGTATAAGAAAACAAGCTGAATATGAACTTGGATGCAAGCCAGTAAACACCGTTCGTCTGTGGTCTCTGGCTCAGTTCCTGCCTTGACTTCCCTCAGTGACATGGAAGTGTAAGCTGAAAAATAAACCCCACATGAAAAAGTTGCTTTTGGTCATGGCATTTATCAGAGCAACAGAGAAGCAAACAGAACAGCACTGATTCCCACGTCCTTGCTGCGGATGCTGGACGGACTTAACCTCTCGGTCACCTCTGGAGATGATGGCAGTCCCCTTTCTTTTATGAGTTCACGGGTTATACATGCAGGTGTGTGAGTTGTAGAGGCCAGAGGACAATTTTGCCATTCTTGTGAAATGTAGTCTACCTCCTTCAGACAGGGTCTCTCTCATTGGCTTGGAGTCCAACAATTAGGCTAGATTGGCTGGCTAACGGGGGTGGAGTGGGTGAGGGGGCATTCTGTTTCCACCTGCCCGGTGCTGAGGTGACAAGCACATGCCACCATGCCTGGTGTTCTACCTGGGTTCTGCAGGTAGATCTCAGACCCAGGCTTGCAAAGCAAACACGTCACCAACCGAGTTTCTCCCCGACACCTGGTGGTCCCTTTCTGGTGATAATGTAGTGAAAGTTAGAGGAAAGGATACATGTAAGGCCCTCCAAACAGTGGCTGGCATACAGCAACCGCTTAATGAACGGTTGTTAGTATGACTATGTAGTGCTCAGAGAGAATTAGTGTGTAATTTATTTTTATTTGAAAAATAAAGAAGTGATTTTTTTTTAAAAAAAATTCTCTTAATCAGGACATCCAGATTCAGAAAATAAACAAAAGCCTCGCTGCCTGTGTGGCCCCTTCTGGCACCCAAACACCACAGCTGGTCCTTGGGCAGGGAACGCCAAAGGCCAGGAAACACACAGCTGTGGTGGATGGCTCCCACAGAGCCCCCTGGACTGCCTCCCAGAGTTACTGAATGGAGAAAGTGCACCCGCCATCAACTGGACAGACACTGAAGACCTCATGATGGCCCACTGAGGTAAGCTTTTTCACTCCTTCGTGGCTGAAGACCAGAGGCTTCTAGAACAATCCACTGGTAGGTACACCTGTAAAAACACTTGCAGTGTCTCAGGAGCCACATACCCATTTCACATCAGGCAGAATTGTCTGGAGGCACGTGTGAGCTGGAATGGTGGAGGTGCTCACAACTGTGCCTGAACCTGCGCCATCGTGCCTAAGAACCCCATGGATTTCCCTGGGGACTTCTAGACAGAAATAGCTTGGTTTAAACTTTCTAAAAGGTTTAACAGAGGAAGACCTCCATCTCTTCCGGGCTCACATCTGAGCTCTTCCAGACTATCCAAGGTGCTGTTGCAAGATATTTCATTGCACTGTGAAACTCCGAGACTGTGTTAATAAAATTAACCTCGGATGGGGGAGGGCGGAGTTGACAAGAATTAGCCATGGAGTACAGAAGACCCAGGAATATGGATAGAGAGACTGTTTTTTGGGTTGGGACCAGTGGAGAGAGGCTCTCTTGCTGGGTCTCTGGACAGAAAGGAAGGTCAGCGGTTGCTTCTCGGCTTCTCTGATCCAGCAGGTTTTCACCCAACGTGACTCCCGAGTCTTTATTGGTGAATAGAATGATAGAGACTTAGTTAAAACCCACATTTGGCAGCCACAACTGTGGCCCAGCCAGTGTTGGGGGGACCGGAAATCCCGGCAGGCCACAGTCTGAGCAGTGGAGTGCTGACTGCAGGCATAGGGCACAGACAGTAGTTAAAATACCAGTCTATTCAGGTGCAACAGCTAAGCCGACAGAAAAACACCACCAGGGCATGCTGGGAGAGTCAGGATCACACTTAGAAAGCCAAATCAAGGCACCGCTTCCTCCGAAGACAGGAGAGTGAGGTTCCCCTGGCTGGCTCTGTAGCTCATACTTCAGCTGTGAAACTTGCCCTCCTGGCAGTCCAGGGCCCAAATGTGGTCCAACAGCTGCACTGTCCCCACCCACAATCCACTTCTGTCTGCAGAGCTGAAGCAGACGCACGGTGTGCAAGGTGCAAAGCTGCACGAAAGGACCCTTCTATGGAGGCTAATGTCACCCGCCCCAGCTCTTAGTGTGCCAGGGCCCTGGGATCCATCGCAGCCCCCACATAATCTCATCCTGCTGGCTTGGGCCTGTGGAGACCGTACCTCAGGAAAAAAAAAGTTAGGAGCCCATCCAGCTGGCAAGACCTGAAAGTTCCCATGTGTTTATGTCACCAAGCTTTGTTGTGGTTCTGAGACGAGGATATTAAGTAAAGGCTTTACAAAAGTCCATACTGTCCAGTTCTGCCCTCATAGTCCAGTTTCCCAAGGTCCACCCCTTCTGGCCTCTCGTCCCAACCTGGTACCAGGCGTTAGTCATTTTCACAGGCTGGGTGATACTCACTGTTATCTTTTATCTTTAGTTGTGTGTTTGCTACAAACTAGGCACAAGGCCAAGGGGTTGAAATGGCTCCAATTATTCCCCATAATCACCCAGGGAACCAATGCTATTAACAGTCTCACTCTTTAAAAAAATATTTATTTACTTATTATGGTTTTTCAAGACAGGGTTTCTCTGTGCAACAGTCCTGGCTGTCCTGGAACTCACTCTGTAGACCAGACTGGCCTCGAACTCACAGAGATCCACCTGCCTCTGCCTCCCAACTGCTGGGATTAAAGGCGAGTGCCACCACTACCCGATATATTCTCATTTTTTAAAAACAGACAGGCAATCAAAGCTTGGAGAATCACCTGTCCCAGGTCACATATGTAGACTGCGACAGAGCTTCAGTTTGAATTCCGGCCTATCTGACTATCTTGCTTTTAGTAGCAAAGAACAATAGCAGCAGCCCCGTTCTGCGCAGGCTGTGCGTGTTCACGCCCTCCTTGGCCCGCTCCCCCGGTTTATGTGGTGCTGGGGATCTAACCCATGACTGTGTGCGTGCTGGGCCAGCACTGCTGACTGAGCTACACCCGCAACCCCCACACGTGTATTTATTTCTTTATTCACACCCCTCTCAATCTTGTTCTCTTTTGAATTTTTGAGATGCTATCTTGCTGCAGAGCCCATGCTGGTCTTGAACTCACCATCTTCTGAGATCTGAGATTGTCAACCGTGCACTGCTGTACTTGGCACACACTAACTTCTTTAATGTTATGTATGCAGAGTTTTGCCTGTCTGTCTGTATGTGTATTATATGGATGCCTGGTGCCCATGGAGGTCAGAGAGGGTGTTGGATCTTCACAAACAGTTGTGAGCTACCATGTGGGTGCTGGGAATGGACTCTGGGTCTTCTATAAGAGCAGCAAGTGCTCTTAATTACTAAGCAATCTCTTTAGCCCTCATATTGAGTCTCGTAATTATTACAGCTCAACCTTTGAAGTGGGTAGTACTAACAGTACCATTTGATGGTTTATAAAATGCAGCTATAGAAGGACATAGCTGCTAATGAGCCCAACAGACTGTGCATGGACCCCACCCCATCGGCACCCGTAGCCCTGGGGCATACTCACGGCTGCAGGTCTTGCCATTGGGGTCCAGAGTATAGCCCCGACGGCAGCGGCAGTAGTGGCCCTCCTCTGTGTTGACACACTCGTGCTCACAGCCTGGTTTGTTCAGGGCACAGTAGTTGATTCCTGAAGGGAGAAAGGAAAGACCCTCCTTCAGACTCTGTAAGGCTATTAGGGTGGACTCCAGGGTTCCCGCATCCCCCATGGAGAGAGCTGGTAGGTGCTGCTTGCTGAGGCAAGCCAGGAATTATCATTCCTTCAGTCATTTACCAGGCAAGGGCCAGGCCCTAAGTTAGATGTGTAGATGCAAATGTGAGCACTGCCTTCAGGGTTTGTGCTCCGGAGACACAACAGAAAGGAATCAGGAACACTAGACACCAAAGATGTAACTGAGTGCCAAGAAACGAAGTGAAGTTATTGACGCCTCCTACGCACTCCAGTGCTGGTTACCTCCCCCCGCCTCCCCGTCACATTTGTAACTGACTCAGAGTCTGCCGAGGTCCCACGCTTTGCATCACCACCTTCATGATCAGTGTCTGAAATTGACCTGGCCAAGGACTTTCCTTCCGTATGATGCTGCCCTGAACTACTTTTCCAAGTTTAATTGGATGATATTGAATTCTTTTGAAACAGATTGTTTTTAATTTGATTTGAAAATAGCCATCAGCCTCCTGTTACATGAAAATGGCCCAATCTCTGTAAGATCCAGAACACGAGAGATCTTAGATTCCTAATTACAAATCTCAGATTCTAAGTCAATGGCTTTGCTTCCCTCTGCCATGTGATGCTGTAGAGAACACAAGCTCTCCCTTTCGCTCCCAGCTGCCTGCTGTGATGTCGGGCTGAGTGCAAGCATTAGGCCAGAGCAGCTCTGACAGGCTGAGCTCAGAGGTCCAGGCCTGGGCTCACAGCAAAGACAATGGAAAATGTAATGACGAGGAGGAAGACTGAGAGAGGAGCTGATGAGGACACTAGCTCTTAGGAAAAGTTCTGTTTTTTCTGGATAAAAAAAGCAGGACACCTGACTGCAGAGGGGATGGAGCTGTTACCATCAGATATACATGGATGAGTGTGCGGGACTCTGGCAGGAGCTGCAGCCCACCAAACAGTCCATCTTTGGGCCACTCTGGTGCCCTAAAGCTGCTCTCTCAGCCTCTGTCCTCTCAGCAGCCCCCCCGCACCCCCGCACCACCCCCCCCCCCCCCCCGGCCTTGAGGATATGCGCATTGACTGCCTTAGAGCCTTCTCTTCAAGGGCCTCTCCAGCAGGGTGTGGATGGAGTGGCACAGGTCAAGGAAATCCTTGAGATCTGGCGAGAGATGCAGAATCTCAAGCAAAGTCTCCATCAGTGGCTACATGCCTGACTGGTTCCCTTGTTCTACTCCATTAGTAACACAGGAAGCATGCTGCCATACTGCTGCTGTGCTGAACCAATCTAATTACCTCCCTAAGAGCCCTCATCCACCTGTAACTGATTTCCCCTGGTGCACTCAGCCCCTCCAACATCCATCCCTAGAAAAAAGGTGTCTGCAGTACAGAGGGAAGTGAGATGAAGCTGGCCCTCGGACATTGTTGGGCATGTGTGGTCTAATTGTCCTCACATTTTGAATGCTTTCCATTCAGGTTCTCATTTAATGCTTGACTGTTTTAAAGGTCTGTATCCAGACTTGGCAGTAGGAATTATCTTTTATAAGAGAAGCTCAGTTTCAAAATATGGGCTCTGCAGCCACACAAAGTTTAATACTTTTTAGGATGAATGTGGAACTTGATCTGTGCCATAAACAGTATGTGATTTGTCTAGATTCAGTTCCACATATGGCCCATAGTGCTTTTCAGAAGAGGTACCTGGTACAATCTTGCCATGAGCACACATTGGCGGACAGTCTTGCCATGAGCACACATTGGTGGACAGTCTTGCCATGAGCACACATTGGCAGACAGTCTTGCCATTGAATACACATTGGCAGACAGTCTTGCCATGAGCACACTCTGGCATATAGTCTTTTGCCATGAACACACACTGGCATACAGTCTTGCCATGAGCACACATTGGCGGACAGTCTTGCTGTGAGCACACATTGGCAGACAGTCTTTCGTGGAGCACACATTGGCGGACAGTCTTGCCATGAGCACACATTGGCGGACAGTCTTGCTGTGAGCACACATTGGCTAGGAAGAAGCAGCAGAGCGGCATTTAGGAAACATCCCAGCAGGCATGGTAGTGTACACCTGCAGTCTAGCTCTCAGAAGAGAGGTGCAACTTTGGGGCTAGCTTGGACCACATAGCCAGAGTCTGTCTCAAAACAAGCCAAACCAAGACCAACCAACCAACCAATCCCAAACAAACAAACAAACAAACAAACAAAACCCAAACAAACAAGAAAGAAGGAAAGAAGAAAGGGAGGTAAGGAGAGAGAGATGGAGGGAGGGAGAAAGGAAGGAAAGAAGAAAATACACCACTAATTGGAAGTTCCAGAGAATTCTACAAATGTCATGGTC